TTTGAGTTAATGACTTTACTTACTATCAATTGCACCCAAAATTTAATATTTCTGTACGACGTGCAAATGCTGAAAGATGGAGTAATATACTACATAAATATTAAATTTTGAATGCATAATTCTAAAGAATCTTAAACTTTAAATAAATCAAATTTAAATTCTAAATTAGCAGTAGTAATCAAATCAAAGACAATCTTGAAAATATTTCTTGGTCTCCACTCGTGCAACTTTAAAGCAACAGCATTTTTCTTTTGTTGATTCTTGGAATAATAAAGTTTAATGTGTAGCACTTATCAATCAAGGAAAATTGGTTTCATATTTTTCTAATAATATTTTTCATGTTTGTGTTTTTATTTAATTAGAAATTTTCATATTTACGTACAAAAGATCGAAAAGAAACCATTTTTCTTCCGATAATTTTGTAAATGACCTAGAATTTTTATATATATATATATTGTTATGTCAATTAAACAGGAATAAAATAGAAAAGTTTTTTTTAAAAAAAGTATAGTCACTAATTCGAAATATGTACATATAGTGTTTTACCCATGCATGGTTTTCCCATAATAACTTTAAAACGAGAAGGCCCATTGGTTTAGCTGCAGGAAATAAATGTAAAAAAGAAATGAAGTAATAATGAATTATGATAACTATACTTGCTGGATGTCAAAGTTTATAAGGAGGTCCCTGCAATATCTTTGTCACTCTATGGTATCAAATTGTCAAAAAGTTTCATACATATAGTACCATTAATCAACATATATTTTTAAAAAAGTAATAACAAACACATCAAACGCAAAATCCCAACATTATTATTATTATTAATAATAAAGCAATGCAAGAAATATCGAATGGCTAAAAGAAGTGGCTTGTCATGGAAGGAATGAAAAATCGTTACGAATGATGACTTCATTATTGATAGAATGAGAAGCTAATTAAATAGAAAGAGTAATTCTTTGCGACTTTACCTTGTATTAATTTTCATCTCAACCGTCACACCACGTTGCAAATTCTTCGAATTAATAAATTTCAAATCGTAACATACATATAAATAGTTATATGCACTATGCAGTAATTAACTCAAACTCAATTTAATAAAATCCACAAAAAGGAAGGAGTACAGACACGCATGCTCAAATTGCCCTTAATTCTGTTTCTCTTTCATACTCATTATATAACCTTTTTTAGGTAAAGTCTCATTCATAATAAAGCTGTCAAATACAGTGTTATTTACATAAATAAGATAACAACATTTGTACAATTCTTTTCAAATTTAAACCCATAAAATAATAGAGGCCTGTCCCTGTCCCATTTCATATCATGCATTTATTTGTTTTTTAGGCAGATGTCTTTTTCTTTTCCTTGTTTTTACCTCACTTTTGTTTCTTTGTCAAAGATAAATAACTTTTACCTGTAAAATTCTATCTAACATTTTGGAGTAAATAAATGAACTATATTTGGAATTTAAGAACCTTATCCACTGCAGGCCATTAATATTTCTTTGAATTTTTGTACGTAGCTTTTCTAAATTCAGATATCTATATAGGTTACTTGGTAATTTCATCTTTTACTATTAATTAGTCCCATTTTGGTTTTTAGGTAGTTAAGTTGTAGAATTTTTTCTGTTCTTTTTTTGGCTAGTTTTCAAAAAAGTAATTGGTGAATTCAATATACTAACGGGTAGTTAGATGGATAGTACTTAGTAGTACTTAATATGCACCAATTTTTTACAATAAAAGAATTGTTTAATTTTGAGAGTTGATTAAAGTGAGAATATGTTGGTAAGATATTTTAATATTAATAAAAATATATATTATATGTCACATTATATATCATGTTATTTCTATTGTTGGATATTATATTTGTGTTTCTTTACTCTCATCAATTGTGGAAGAAAACAGTCATTAGTTTTTAGTAATTTATGTAACCACCAAGTCTTCATTTCATTCATTATTCTATATTTATGTCTTGTAACTTGTGTAACATTTGAGTCATTCATTTGGCAAATTTACTATCCACTATCTCCTATTCATTGCGAGGAAGAATTCATCACGTATAAATAGTGTAGTCTTCATTTGTGTTATGACATGAGAAGAAACAAGAGAAGTACTAGAAAATATAGAATGAAAAAGATGAATAGTATATTATATTGAGGTTACTGTAGTGAAAGAGAGAGTTGAGACCTAAAAAATATTCTAAGTCTTGAACTATATTCACTATACAAAAGAGAGTATTATATGTTGAATTGAAGGAAGGTGTTCTTTTGTGAAGCTTTGGACTCTTCAACTAATCTGAAGTTGTTTGAGTTACACACTGTTGTTGGAATGTTGTATCCTGGAGGGGACAAGTCAAGAGTTATACTGCTGGATTTGTGTAGATTATACCGCAGTGGGCTTGAATCTCCTTAAAGAGAACGAGGTATTCGTGCCTCAGCCTAAAGATTAGTTTACACATTTTTGTTCATTTTATTTCAACTGAAATTTATTATATTTATGGTATATTACACCAACAGAATATATAATACTTGATTAATACAAATTAGTGTGCGTCACAATCACAGTTTAATTATGTATCACACATTTTATGTAGGCTAATTATATTGTCATCGATCACAGTTTAATTATGTATCACACATTTTAATGTAGGCTAATTATATTGTCATCGATCGAGTCCAAAAGAGTACGCATCATGATAACTAATTGTATTGTGTCTTATTAAGCTTTTTACATTTTCAACTTCCTGAAATAAAATTTAGGTAGCACGCATTTTCAGAAGCGTGTCAATCTAAAAGTTTATCGATCTTTCTCTTTTGACCCATGTTCCACTCTGTCCTTGAGATGGACATCTCAATATACACATTTTTTTTCTCCTAACCGTTCCATTCTAGTACCTTATTAAGCTTGCACCGATCATCATAGAAGAATAAATACGTAGAGATAATTTCTTTGGTCAAATTTACATGTCATTTCTTTTTATCAATTCCAAAAAAATGAGATCTATATATGTTCTTATATGATACTAAAAGTATCATATTAATAACAGAATAATGATTTTCACAATATAAATATCCAAAATATAAAAAAATTAAAATCATCAATATATATACCGATGATATTAAATATTTATATATATATATATATATATATATATATATATATATAAAAAAAAAATTAATTACTTTTTATATAATATAATATCTTGATGAAGAGGAAGGGATGGACTTGATCTCACGCTGTTTAGCTCCATTCTTAGCCACAATATATTTAGGACCACAAATTTAACATGTGGTATCTGACAAACATTTGTTTTCAGATATATAGAGATAGTAAAATGGAGAAAGTAACTAATGTATATCAACTTAAATTTGTGAATATGCATTTTATACGTCTACGGTACTGTTTCAATGTTGTTTGTCAACTAAGTTTTAATGGCCTGAAAAAGTTTCCAAAACTATAGGAGAAGTTCAAATCTTCTACCGTGTCGTCAATGACAATTTCTCAACGTGTTTTTATATATTTGATCGTAACTTATAATATTTCTTTCGTTTACTTTTTTTATTATTATAAACTTTGAATTTTACACGTCTTTTAAGAACAATAATTAATATGAACATTTTATTACGATATTTCATATCAATTGATGTATAATATTGAGTCTCACGAACTAAAAATAAACAGATATAGTGCTTTTTATTTTAAAAAACATAATTCATTTCACCATTATAACTAAAAAAATATTAAAATATAAAAAATATCATATAAATTTGAAACAAATCAAAAGAATTTGCATTGCACTTTGTACGATGATTATTAATTATTATGGATTTTTTTTTGTGAAAGTTGTTATTTGATTCCAAAAACTCTAACTTTTTAGGCGGCGGGACTTGCAAAATTAGGCTAATTAATCTCAATCTTATTAAAAATTAAAATAAAATATCTCAGGTGGATTTCCAATGCCGACATTACCTTTTTTGCATCTAATGCTTTCGATTAGGATTTAATTACGTAAAGATGAATCTAAGAGCTTCTTAATAGTAGTATAAGACAACATTACCTTTAATATTTTAATCAAAAAAAGAATTCCTTTTGCTCATGTAGCCTATCAATGGCCACATTTTTATTTTTCTTTACTAATTAATAATATTTTAAGAAATGGAGCATCTTTTCCTTTTTATGGACCATGCCAAGATGACACTTCTACAACTAATTTAAGTTGTATACCTAACTCAACTACAATATATTTGATATATAATTTTATAAAATAAGATATGAGATAGATAAAATGTATGCATACCTAATATTTCGAAGAGAGTTCATACGATATTATTTGAAATAAAACATTTAACCAGAACAAGCGGGAGATGAAGGGAAAAAGTAGCAGAAAAATAAAAGGAACACTTATTATTATTAGGTGCAACTTACTTATTAGTTACCCCACCAAAAGAGAGACAATAAGTAGGAATTGCCCATAGCCATGGCTACAAGACATTCTTCCAAACCTGGCAGGGTCCATCAGTATGTACACACATACATCATCCACCACTCCTGTTCCCACTTCTCATTTCTTTTATATAATATATAAAAATATTGCAAACTTATCGAATTAGTTTTTGCATGCATTTCAATTATTTCGCATTATTAGAATTTTATCGAATATATAACAAAATTTTAAAAAATATATATATAAATTGAATTAAAACCACTCTATTTAAATGGATTCATTACTAACGCATTATATCTGCTTCTGACCTGTATCAAGTAACTCGATTTATCAATAATTAGACGAACTAAAAGGAACCTATCAACATATTTTCTAATTTGTTCCAAGATTTGAAACTACTCTCCAGGCAACTTCTCACATTCCCTTTATTTGCTTTAGATTTTATTTTTTATTTGCATGTCAATTTTTTAAGTTAAAATTCACCCTATCTTTTATCAATTCCATCTGTTATCCTACCCCTTTCAAAGGCCTATAAATACCCCTCTCTAGCATATTACTTTATCACTCACACCATAGAGAACAGATACCAAACACAAGCAAATTAAAAGATAAACTAGAGAGTCAGCTTAGTAAGAAAAGAAAAAAAAACAGAAAAATGGAGAGTAATTTCCCAGTTGTGGATATGGGGTTGCTTCAAACTGAGAAAAGGCCTGAAGCAATGGACAAAATCAAAGATGCATGTGAAAACTGGGGTTTCTTTGAGGTAAAATTATATTTTACACTAATACAGGATCTTGAAGAAATAAAAAAATTAACTTTCTTGATTTCTGAACTTTTTTTTTTTTTTGGTTGTCTGTTATGTGATATATCAAAGCTTGTGAATCATGGGATTTCTCATGAATTGCTGGACACAGTGGAGAATTTAACTAAGGGACATTACAAAAAGTGCATGGAACAAAGGTTTAAAGAAATGGTGGCAAGTAAAGGACTTGAAGCTGTCCAAACTGAAATTGATGATCTTGATTGGGAGAGCACTTTCTTCTTGAAACATCTTCCTGTTTCCAATGTGTATGAAGTTCCTGACCTGGATGATGAATACAGGTTTATAAAACAAAAAAGATCCAATTTTTATCATTTCATATAAACATATCCTATACTAGATGGCTCCAAATATCTGGGATTTGTATCAGTTCAGCTTGTCACTTATAAAGTGACAAACTTTACTGTTGATCAGAGTCTATCCTTAGTCTTGAGTCTTGATTAGTAGTTCTTTTTTTTTTTTTAACTTAACTTATATTACCTATAACCTCATGACAGGAAAGTTATGAAAGATTTTGCACTGAAGCTAGAGAAACTAGCTGAAAATCTTTTGGATTTGCTATGTGAGAATCTTGGACTAGAGAAAGGTTATTTGAAAAAAGCATTTTATGGCTCAAAGGGTCCAACTTTTGGTACCAAAGTTAGCAACTATCCTCCTTGTCCCAAGCCAGACTTGATCAAAGGCCTTCGCGCTCACACGGATGCTGGTGGCATCATCCTTCTATTCCAAGATGACAAAGTCAGTGGTCTCCAATTGCTAAAAGATGGCAATTGGATTGATGTACCTCCTATGAAACACTCTATTGTCATCAACCTCGGCGATCAGCTAGAGGTATGCATTCCTTTTAACGTGTTGTAGCAGGTAATCGCCTTATTTTTCTAGGGTAGTACTGATTTTGTTTGAATGATTGAAGGTGATTACTAATGGAAGATACAAGAGTATTGAGCACAGAGTGATTGCTCAACAAGATGGCACTAGGATGTCAATAGCTTCCTTTTATAATCCAGGAAGTGATGCTGTCATATTTCCAGCACCAGAGTTGATTGAGAAGACAGAAGAGGACAACAAATTGAAGTATCCAAAATTTGTGTTTGAAGATTATATGAAGTTGTATGCAGGTCTCAAATTCCAGGCTAAGGAGCCTAGGTTTGAAGCAATGAAGGCTGTGGAGACTACTGTCAACTTAGGTCCAATAGAAACTGTTTGATAATCTTTTCAAGGGGGAATTTGTTTATGTTTTAATAGGACACTAATTAAGAGGATTAAAGAAGTTAAGGTTTCTAAAGCTGTGTTGTCCTTTTAGTTAATAATTTACTATGTTACTTGATGTGTCATTGTCTGTTGTTTGGTAGTGAGCTGTTTGAGGTTGTTCTCTATGGGGTATATTGTAAAGTTTCCTCTTTTACTTTAATGAAATCTATGCTTAAAGAAAACAAACTCTTTCTATCACTTACTACATGTTTGAGTTTAATTAATATACACTGACAAGATAAAAAGAAAAATTACGCTGAAAGAGAATTATGAATAACTTTTCATGCTAGACATGGATTGGTAACATGCAGAACATATAAATCACATGTTACAACGGCTAAAAGTTAAAATTGTATGTTCGCGGAGCATGTTTTTTTTATATTATTAGTGTATATAAATAAGTTTTAAAAGCGATTACCTTAAAGGGTTTGTGTTACAGCACAACTATAATATAAAAATCAGAAAAGGACTCTAAAACTTAATTGAAAAAGGAATTTGGATGACATAGCAAAATTGACAACCTCAAATCATTTATTGCTTTTTTTCCTTTTTATCATGACTGTCATTTTCCAGGGATTCTCAATTGAACACCAAAACAACTCTGATGTTAATAGGAAAAGACACAAGTAATAGTATAGATACTCAACTGCTGTGTTTCACCTTTTTTTTTTCCCCTCTGCATTATCTGTTGTCATTGACAATTATGTGTACAACAATTACCACCTTAGATTCCCCAATGAAAAGGGATGGGAAAAACATAGAAGTGCTATTAAACCTTAATTGTGTATGGGCGCACTACTTTTAGAGTATCAGATACGCACCTATAAGTCTGAACAACATAGAAAAAGGCAAGGGTGGATTTATCATTATAATACATCTGAACTCACTGCTTTACTTTTGACATGTACCATAACTTGTAGAGGTCTGCGTATTTGAGTATGATTCTTTGCAAAAGTGGAAAAGAACCCCAGGCCATTTGGTCAAACTACTTTATACTAGTAGTATTTAGCTACAGTTGTCATATTTTGTTAAATGCACATTTTGTAACATCTAAATTTCTAAAAGAACAGTAGAGACCCACCGCAGCGCCACCATTTCATTCCTTTTCTCAAAAGCTCTGTTTTGACAAAGAGGTACAAAAAAAAAATACGCTTTAAGGCTAATTGGCTAATGGTTTCATAGGGGGAAGACAATTTTAAGTTCTGGTGATATTGGATTCCTAGACTAACACTTGCTATGAAATGTGGGAGCATTCTACTGCTGCTGGCTACATTTCAAGCATGTAATGAAAATTTTGAAGTGCAAAAATTCCAAACAGTGAGAAATATGAGTTGTTACATAGAAAACTTACATCTTCAATGGAATAGTATCCATTATGAACAGCACACTTGATTAAGAGTTCAAACATCAACTTCTGAACAACTAAGCAACAAAAGCAAATGAAACTGCCATTTATCAGAAATTCAACCATTGACATCTACATTTCAACAGCCTGAAATGCTAGCAACAATGACATGTCTTTTCTGCCATGATACTGACATGGAAATCTGAAATTACAACTTCCAAACAAGACCAAAAAGGCGACAAAGTAGCATGAAATTACATTCCGTGGTTCTCTCTTCACGAATAAATGTAGGATAAGCTACAGCTTAAGAGCAAATGCCTGCTGGAAACACAGATTGCTAATGGTTTCGAACCGTGAGCTGTTTCTATCAAAATATAACTACGGAATTAAATGTTAATTTTGCGGAGGCTAAAAATACTAATCGCGTCAATAAAAAAATTTCAGAAACCAAACTCAATGTAGAAAAATTAGTGTCAGGCTGACGGTCAGAACTTGTTGGCACACATTCATAATCTAGAACCTTCAGAGACAGCGCATTATGATGCCAGTTCTCCACCAGCATCGAGAAGATAATGCTACCTACTCTTCTAAAAGTGAACTTTCCGTCGCCCCATTTCAGACACATGCATGAAAAAAATGCTAATGCAGGTGATGGACAGCGCAATCCAATGAAACTGGAAGCAGGTCACTGCCCTAAGCTTGACTAGCATCATTCTTATGATTTGCAGCAGCATCAGTGTTCAAGCTCTCAACCATTTGTTTAGATCCCTCTGCAGCTTCCTCATTGGAACAATGGTTCTTCAAAACTGTTGAGATGTCACTCTCAGAAGCTCCAGCAAGCTTGAAACGCTCAACTGCTGTATCAAGGTTTTTCTTCCAACCATCCAAAGCCAACTTACATTCAACTTGAGAGCGCTCAAAGAGCATGTTACCCCAAAATAAATGGATCTGTGATCTCATAACAGCAGCTTGCTCTGCAGCCTCGTCAGCTGAAATTTCAGCTGGACCAGCAACAGCTGACGCCTCACTTTCAGGACCACTTGCTTGCTTCTTCCTTCTCCTTAATAGTTCATCCTTCTTGCTGGTGCTAGGATCCTTTAGTTCATTAGCTCTCTGCTCTTCAATCTTCTCCCACATTTCCGTCGCAGCTTTCATTTTTAATTCTGCACTGTCAAAGAGTGCAAGAGTCTCAGTAGGATCCCAATTTGATAGGTCCTCTTTCTTAGCCAAGATAAAGGACCAGTAAAGTTTTGCCATTTCAAATTGCTGCTGCCCCAATGCCAGCAACCCCTCGTAAAAGTCTGGTTTGATTAAGAGTGCCTCCTCATATTTTTCTTTGGCCAGAGAATATTTTTCTTTCACCCAGTCATATGCTGCTTGGAGTTGTGTAGCCATCATCTCCTTTGAAGCAGAATCATCAATTGGAATTCTTTTCCTTGCTGAGCACATGTGAACATTTCCCCAGTTGAAGAAAGCAAGAGCTGCAACCTCCTGAAATTTTAAGGCAGCCTTGTCGAAAAGAACTTGAGCCTCTTCACTTGTGACAGTTTCCTCAAGGGCTTCAGAGCAAAGCTCCATCCCAAGTTCATGCAGATCAATGTGAGCATCAGGATCGATGCCTACATGGGTCCTGAATAATTGAGCAAATTCGAAAAGCCAGTCATCCATTTCAACCTCTTTGCAGTCAGGATTTTCGGCTGTAGCCGCTTTTTCTGTGATAGTTACCTTCTCTGCCTTATTACTCTCATTATCCACAGTTTCAACCACCAAGTCACTTATTGAAGAATGGGATCCACTATCATCCCCTTTACTCCCTTCACTCTCGACAGGCTTCTCCTCTTCCTCTTCCAACAAGGCTGGCTCTTGTTCAGGACTCACCTCAACGACGTGCAATCTTAACAACCCAATGGCGCCGGTTTTATCTGCATCAGGGTCTTTTGGTAGTAAACCATCAACCCAAGACTCTGCCGATCTAAGTTCAGCCGTACAGGTTATAGTTACTAAATCTCCATCACTGTCCTTATATTTAACAAGAACAGATTTTGACATAGGGAACCGTTTGCTAACAATATCCCTCAACACTCTAAAACTGCAAGTCACAGGCATCTGTGCAAGCCTTATATCATGATCATAAACAAGCTTCAATGGCCTCCAACGAATGGCAACATCTTTAGAATGTCCATGAACAGCACTAGATGCTGATAAAGATGCCTTCTCTCTTTGTCCATCCTTATTGCGATCAGCATGTGGCCTGGAAGGACCATTTGCAGGCTTCAAAACAACTTTTGGTAACTGAACTTTGGCATGAGGACCATTTTCAGCTGGCGTAACTTGATATGGCTTCTCAGGCTTATTATTAACTGATATAGCTGAAGCCCCACCTAAGGGTGCTGGCTTCTTAGACATTGGCCGAGCAGGTAAGCATGGTCCTAAACCAGCAATAGGAGCTGCACCCACTGCAGAAGCACCAAGTGCAGCTGGAGATGGGCGGCTTTGGAGGTCCTGCTGGGCCTCTGGACGAGGACCAAGTGCCATCCTCAATCGTCCAGCAATCTCCAAAGCATCTCGGTGATTCGGATCAGCACCCAATAGTATCTGGACATCTTGCATCGCCATTTCATATTTCCCCACAGCCTCAAATGCACGAGCCCTTCGTAGAAGGGCCCGAACATAAGAGGGCTGAACCTGAAGTGCCATAGTGCATTCAGAAACAACAGAATCATAGTCTATGGGCTTCATTTGCATCAAACAGGCTGCCCTATTGCTATGAAAAACAGCTCTATCAGGGTGCGTCTTTGGTGTAAGTTTGAGAGCATTCTCATATTGCTCCAGAGCACCCACATAATCCTTAGCCTGAAACCTTTTGTTCCCCTCTTCTTTCAGCTCATGGGCTCTTTTTGAGAAAATTGATGAGTCCAAATCAACACTACCATTAACAACAGGTGAATGGCTGTTCCCTACAGCCCCTTGGTTTTGGTTTTGGTTTTGACTAATACCCGCCTTCTTTTTCCTACCACCTGATTTCCCCATGAAATTGTCCTAACAGTAACTTGTACAAAGATTCAATCTTTATTCCCAATAAGCCAGTATAAACTAATATATCACTATACTTCACCCTTCTTTTTTAAGCTGTATAAATCAAGAATCAGAAATGATAACAGAAAGAGCTACTTACAGGTATAAAGTTTCCACCTTTAGTGCAGAATTTAGAGTTTTCTGATTGAATCTTGAAGACCCAGAAGATGGATTGAGGAATCTGATAGGTTGGATAAATGGGTGTGTTTTTTTTTCGAGGAGAAGCACTAATGTAAGGTTTTGGGTTTGAAACCCTAGATAGCTGAATTCACTTTGGTGCTGTTTGGATTGAGTATCCAACGGTGGGACCCACTATTTAGGTCTAAATATTGTGAACCATGCGATGGATGATCATATTTTATAATCACCGTAGATCTTATTCATTTTATATTACCCTAAAACTTTATTTTAAAACTCGCTTCTATGTCAATCAAGTTATAACTAATCCCGTAATATTACCAACATTATATTATATGTTTATTTTGCCTATTGAAGTCCTTGCGATATATTACTAGTATTTTCAAGAATCAGCCCAACTGAGCCATGAATATATGAAGTCTAATTTTGTAAACATTTAATCTTATTTTGGAGTGATCTTTAGTTTATTTTTTTAAATATAATGTTTTTAAATTTTTGTCTATACTGCTTGTTTATAAAAAAATTATCGATCAAAATATTATTATTTATGATCTTATTTATTCTGCGTGAGTTTAGAGAATTTAGATCTAACTTAACATAAATTTCGTAGGAATTAAGTTATGTT